CTGCACTGCAAGGTGAAAATAGGCAACCGCTGTGAGTCTTTATATATAGACCAAATCAAAAACAACACCATCGTTCTTTTTTTTCTGGGGGGGGGTTGATGAAGGAAACCAACAACGATAAATAAGCAATAAGTCAATGAAAACCAAAAAGCAATCTTTCAGGCCAAAACCTAAATTATCCTGAGAGTTGCTTTTTTTTATGTTTTGGGTTTTGGTTTTGGCTGCCTACAAGAAGAATATAAATAGACAAGGTATAGAACACATACAAATGAGGTGCAGACGTCGTTGCGCATAGCAATTCTTTTTTATATATATGTTTTTTGTTCAATCATGCAGAATTTGGGAATTTGTGCATGATCAATGTCGGTACCTCAGAAACGGTTTAACACTTTTCAATATTCACACAAAATATATCAAACATCAGCAAAAAGCACTGCAAAGGCACTGAACAGAACATGAGCAGTAGCTCCGGGGGGGGGTTACCATATATATACTGTATATACACCTTCAGCCCTTCAGCCCTTCTCCCTTCTCGCTCACCCATGGACTCCGACCTGCGGCGGAGCCAAACGAGGCTGGCGAACTTCTTCCACGCACTGCCAGAGCCAAAGCGTCGTGTGGAGGTAGGATCGCTTTCCGATGCAACCGCGCGGAGCAGCGCGCGGAGCAGCGCGCTATGACCGGAGTGGTTTGATTGAGCCAGAAATTGGACGCGTGGGTCTGGAGAAATATTCAAGTCGGTTTTCGATGCAACCGTGCAAGATCAACCCACAATTCAACATCATAGAGGACTTTATGCTTGTTTGCGCTTGTGGAACATGGTGGAACACTTCGTCGTCCCAGGGCCCGGCCACCCCGAGCGAGGCCTGTTATCACTTTTGGCGCCTGAACGACACCAGCAGCTTGTTGCGATGCATCACCGAGTGGACCATGTTCGAGTGGCTTGGGTGATAGACCGGTTGTGAGCGACACGAGGACATCGGTGTGGGTGTTCGGACGTGAGGGATAATGGAACAAGTGAATGACGAAGAATGACTGAGCAAATGACATTTGTCCACCAGAAATCTGCACATATCTGCACCTATAGTATGCATTGAACCTCCTGGATGTTGCAGATTTGAATCTGCTCGCAAGTGCATCAGGCAAATTTGGGATCTCCACTCTCGCATTGGCAACCGTAGTAGGGCCCAAATTCACAGGGATGCAGGTTGAAATATATTTATGTGTGTTGTGGGGTTGATGCAGCATCCTCCATCCTCAGCCGCAGCTCGGACGGAGTTGGAGGGAGAAGATGTAGATGTTGCACGGAAAAACAGACACACACACACAACAAAGCAAACACACGTCCCATCCTATCCAACCTCCAAAAATCGCATCCTATCCAACAAAAACCATACCCCCTTTCAACTGTTGGCACCCCTTGTCCTATCCCTCTTGGATGAAGCGTTCGTTTCCCACTCTCTCGTCGTGTCTTGGACCTTCTCGACTTCTCGACCCACCTGGGAACCCTCCGCCGCCTGCGCCGAGGACCTTGGAGCGCGCTCATCGCCCCGTCACTCCGTTTGAGAGCGGAGACGGGGAGACACCGACCGGGTGACCGGTGACCGGTGTCTTCCGGGTGTGGATTGGAAGCACGGGAGGCCCCTGGGGCCCTTGGGTCCAAGCAGCCTGGTCTGCCTACTTTGATACGAAAACCCATGGGTGGTTGCCCAATTAAGAGGATTGGTTCAAGTTGGTTTACCTTTAGAAAGGTGGTGACACTTCAAGAGACTGTATTTAAGATGGATATGGCCGGCCGTTGATGCTCCCCTTGTTTCGATGAGCCATGAGAAGATTCTGCTCATGTTTTGGGCCAAGGGGTTTGAAAAAAACAAAAGAACTGGAACCATAAGCATCCACAAGAAGTATAACGACACAAAGCATACTCAAGGGCGAGGTCACTGCGTGCGTTTTTGTTTTTGTTGCTTTTTGTTCTGAGTCCACGAACGTGCACCGTAAGGCATAGAGATGGTTGATCATCCAGGTACGGGTTTGATTCATCAACAGTCAACATATGTCAACATGCTTGGCGAATACTGGTTTCCGTTGGACTCTGCCGTTTGACTACTCACGACGCTTCGTGTTGGGTGGCCTCGCAGTCGAGAATACAAAGGCTTCAACATCCCAAATTTGGTGTCCATGTTTGGAGGCCAACCGAATTGACCTAGCATCAGACCTAGCTGACCTAGCAGTTTTTTTATTCAAATTCGGTGTCCAATGGACGTTCAAAATCAGACCTAGCTGACCTAGCATCGTCGCTGGGCGAATGGGCTCTGACTTCTTGTCCCTAGCGACCCAGGCGCTCCTGGACTATTGCCGTGCGATAGGAGGACCGTGGGGGTGGCGCCCAAGAAGATGTTCATATGCAACATGTAGATCGGAGATTGAACTTCCTAACAACGAGATCAACAAAAAGTGTTCCTAAATGAATGGCAATCGATATTTGTATGACATACAACTAACAACCTTGTTGTTTTCAGCTATCTTCAGTGTTAAGGGTGCAGTTGCAATTTGCATTTTTTACAATTCCGTGCGGTATTAACGGCGTTTCGTAGTGCCTTCACGACCACTTGGGAGAGCGGTTTTGCACTCAGCACGCGGTCTTGCACTCAACCATGGATGCCTACACAGACGATGCATTTTTGAATGCTTTCATCATCTAACGCTTGGTACGTCCGAGTGGACGTTCCCACCTCAAACACAACCAACCACCGCAACCCGCGAACCTCAGTGCGGTGCCAAAGAACCGTGGTAGCGTTTCTTCAATCGGTAGCCAGAAAGGTGATTGGGACACTCCTGGTCCTGGGGCCTCCTCCTTTGCTTTTTTTTTAAATATAGTTGCAAGGGAGGAAACGATCCATGATTTTGCGGTTTGGGGTGCGTGAAGAAAACAAGAATTGGTCTCTTGCATCGTGGGGTTTGTTTTCTCAACATGGCGATCCGGCTGCTTCTTTAGACCTTTGGAGATTTTGAGACCTTTGGAGAACAGGGAGTCTTGTGTTGTCTCAGTGCAGTTTCGTTGGTTTTGGCATGTTGCCACAGTTGACATTCCGGAGCTTTGGGGATTTATTTTATCCACCCCATCAGCCCATCAGATGAACAAATTGTTGCCATACCACAATGGTCCTCTAAATCTGGAAGGTGTCAGGCCAAAAGTACGTGAACGGCTTCTTAGGTTTTTTGTTGTATAAACTGGCGTTTCTGGGGCTTTGATGTAAAGAAAAGACATGCCGATTCTGTGGCAACAGGCGTCTGGCGTTGCTAAGCTGCTATCGAAAACTCCCAGCGCCCAAACAAAAAACGGATGAAGTTGCATTGTTTTAGCACAGGTGTCGAAGTTGGGAGGATTCCTCCCAGGCTCCCAGGCTCCCAGGGAGGTGTTTATGGACTGTTTTGTGTACCTTTTGCTTTTTTTCTCACGTCCGGTGTGAGCTCACGTCTCGATTCCACGACAGCGAGTGTGAAGCTAGCTCTGCAGGCTACGCCACCATGCGGCGAGCGCTCAGCAAGGCGAGTTCGTCCGTCCTCGGTCGACGGCGCGTTTCGGGTGGCCGGTGAACGGTTCGCGGAAGCCCCATGGGCCCCCCAAAAGCATGCGGAAACCAAGGAACAGTGGATGCACATCCATGGCAAATCTACTGTAAATCTCTCTCTCTCTCTCTAGTCCTACCATCCGGACTCTACGGGCCCCCCAGAAATGTTCGGCCGCCCAGTGTTGAACGGAGATGGTGAAGTCTGCCGGTCGGCTGGTTTTTTAGGTCTGCCAGGCCTTTTTTCGCTGAGCCCAGAAAAAAAGGTGTGCCAAAGATGGTGGAATACTTACTCCGTTTTCCGATGTTGTTTTCCTTTTTTGGGGAAACGGCATGCCGTCCTGCACGTTTTAGGAGAGGAAGTAGCAACCAAACATCCAAATCCCGGGTGGCTGGTGAAACCATCGGTCGGCGGTTGGGTCTCGTCCCTTTGGCCGGTGGGTTCAGGCTGACACGGCAAGCCTCCATCAGCGCATTGTCATTGGCAGGCGCGCTTTTGTGTGTGTATGTGACACTGCGTGTGTGTTGATGATGTTCTTGTTTCGTGGCGTCTCATGCAGATCCTTGAGGGGGTTGATAGATCCTTGAGGGGGCTGATTTGGCTTTAGACATCAAATGTGGTTCAGGACAATGTGTCATTGACAGGCGTCACGTGTTTTTGGTCCTGGAATATCCTGGATTATATGACTTTGATCGCTTTTGTATATCCACGGATCCACTGCCTTGTTGGCAGTAAAACTCCCTACTTCCAAAAGGACATGAGAGACGACTACAGACTTGGATTCAGTCTGCCCACTTCCTTTCTTCGATATTGATCAGGACAACTTCCTGAACGGGCATCCGACATTGACACAGCACATTGTGGTCCCAAAACCACTTCGAAAGACCACTGTTTGTGAACAATTTAAGGTATCCTTCCCTCAAATCACCTTCACTCTGTGTTTGATCAAAGGAATGTGAGCAGCTGGAAGATATGAGTCATCACGAGTCAAGGTGTGCTCATTGCAACTCATTGGTCCGCGAAAAAGAAAAAAAACGAGCTCAGCTCGACACGGCACCATCGGCACCACCGGGGGTCCCCACCAGAGACCCATCGGCCGGAACCGCGTCCCTGGTGCCGCGACCGGTCTCCGCGACCGGTTCGGTGCAGCCGCAGATTCTTCAGTCACGTGGGAGAGTTTGCCGCGGCCAAGGAGGCGCTGCTACAAGCCAAGCTGCTGGGCAGACAAGCAATTTCATTTCAAAGATCGAGCGGTTGTTGCGCCCTGGTGAATGTGAATGTGTTTATAAATACTGGTTTTGGTTGGATGGCAAGACCTACAAGATGGCTTAGACAGGGCTGATCAGCAAACCTGAGGCCGGAACACATGGGAAGAGATTCTGTCCTAAATAAAAAAGTCATGCTCACAACTGGACTGCCTGGGATATTCTTGGTTGATCTTGGTTGTGTATTACATTGTATGAGGGATATCCCCAAAGACCCCCGCTGAAAGGAACCCAGGTGTTCAGGATGTAAAAGGAAGACACCTTTAGGGCTTAAGGTGTGCATACTAAAACATCACAACCACTTCTTCTTGCTTGGTTTAGAAACATCCAAGATGCACGGCCACTCAAGGCGCCCCTCGGCCCCTTCAGTTCAAAGCCATTCTTATAAGGTCAATATACAAACAAAAGTGTATATATATATATACACCTAGAACCTGAGTGACCCCTGTTTTGGAGTCAAAACATGCTCTTTACCTATCAAAACAAAGGTCATATGGGTTCTAGGTGTATATATATATATATATAACTACGCTCAGTTGTGTGGGTCGTGCGGCCGTTGGTTGACCTAGTGACCCGGGTCATCGCCTCCAAACAACGATCGGAGGCGAGGGGGGCCCCTGGGCCACTGCGTGGTGAAGCGATCGGCTGAAAGCAACAACGGTCACATGGTCACATACAGTATTCGGCCATCTTCGACTTGCGGAAATCTGACTCCATCTGATTCCCTTGGCCAGTCGTGGTTGTTGAACCAGGTTCTGAAGGTTTCCCAAGTCTTCGAAAGTGAGAAGATCAGTGTGCAGATTTGATTATATACATGTCTCAGTGTGAACCTTATCAGCCCACCATGGAGGCGCAAAAAGATCGCTGTTTTGTTGCTTTGAGACCCATCTACGATTTTCTACAAGATTGTCATCGCGGACAATCAAGAACATATGTCACACAAGGAAATCCCGAACACAATCCTAGCATGGTATCCGTTTGATTTTGGCACCTTTTGCATTCTTCCACTGCATTCGGTATCTACTGTAAGGATAGAGCGCCCGGCGGGGCAAAAGAATCGTCAACCTTGAGAGGGGTGTGTAACATATGCTACAATGGATCAAATCCCACCCTACAAACTCTGCATGAGGAACCAAAAGTGTCCATTCTTCTCTTCGCGCGCATGCGAGGCCGGAGGCAGCAGCCAGCGAAAACCCAGCAGATTTGGGCCAGGTGGCATCAGCCAGGTTTGAATGGGTTGTAGAGCTGGATATGTTGTTTCTTTCAAAATATGGAGACTGGGGACTGGACATCTCCAAACAAGGATCCACTTGGAGTGAGCTAATGTGCCTTTCAGCAAGTGCTCCAAACTCGTGTTTTCTTTTGCAAAAAAGCCACGACGGTATTCTGCCTCAGCGCAAGTGTTCCGCATGGAAAGCCGTTTTGGAGTCTTACAGGAACTCCTCTTCCAAGCCTCGTAAGACGAACGAGGCCCTCCTGCGTTGGATTCAGATCACTTCCCCAGCCAGGTGTGTACCTTGATTGCCGAGAATGTGACTTGGACCGTTGCGGTTGGCTCTAAACCGTTCGAACCTGCAGGGGTCGAGCTTGAGACTGTTGAGCTTCTGGAAGTTGTGGTGCTAGAGCTACTCACAGTGCTGGTGCTGGTGTGGGTCGCAGGGGTCTTCAGGCTTTCGAAGGCGTCCACCAGAAAGAACGACCGATTCACTCGGCCGGGTCTTTCGGCGGCCGAAGGTCACCGGCAGTGGTCACAGCAGTGGTCACCGTTCGACCATCGACCCAGCTTAGGGGGAGGAGCTTGCGACCCCCACCAGGGGAGACCACCGGGCGTGTGGACGGAATTGGTGGAGGACCAACCGATCGGAGGTCAGGTGAAAAGTTTGAAACCTGACAGGTTTTCAGTGCAGGGTAGGTGAAGACCTGACCCTGGTCGTGGATCCGGTCGATGGGATCAACTTCTTAGGTCACCTGGATGGAATCCACTGGGTGGATGGAGAAGGGAACGATATAATGAAATGATCTCCATGTCAATGTCCATCTTGAAGCACTCGAGCTGACATTGGAATGGCTGCACGAAGATCCTGACATTCTCAAGTTCTGAATCAGGCCTCGGTCCAACAAAAGAGCATGGAAGCTCTGTGGATGGCGTGTTGCAAACGACCTTTTCTATAGATATGGAGACGGGGTTGCCAGGCAAAGGCACAGTTTGTCATTCAGCCATGACTTTAAAGGTAAGTTGCACCCCAAAGAAGGGGCAATCACATCAAAATTATTACTATATCAAGATGTTCTATTTGACCAATTTGCCTCCAGCCGACGTCTCTTCTCATCCGGGTCTCTTGAAAAGCTAGGTGCCACCGGGTCACCGTGGTCTACTCTACTGGTGCTCGGAAAAAAAGGAAAAACGACTCCGATTGAGGAGATCCGCTACTGGGACTCCTTGCGGAACTGGGGCTCTCCTGGCGCCTTAAAGGACCTCATGGAGTGCTCCAGCCACTCGAAGGCAGGTGCAGCGGTGCACAAAAAGCCAGCACATCTTCCTGCGAGATGGATCTGGATGGACCAGGGTTTATCATGCTTTTGCGGACGACTTTTTTGAGATCCGTAAATGTGGGGTCAAACTTGGCAAGTCTGCTCAGGTGACAAAGATGTTTGATATGGAAAACGCATCCATCATTCAACGGAAAGTAGCCTTGATGGTGATTGGTTCACTGGCCCGACAAATCGTTTCGTACGCTGCATGGATCGGGATCGAGCACAATCAGCCGCAGGCGCCTTTTTAACCACTGTGCCTCTAGGATGCCCCGGTCCTTGGGTTGCTTTCTTAGGCTGCCGGGACTTTCCGGAGACGGCAGGGCGCGCAGATCTTCAATATAGGCAGATACAACTTGGGTGGACTTCTAATATAGGGTTTCGACATCCACGGGATTGTTTGTTGATCTTAAACATGGGGGTTTCGAGATTTTGTTGCGCGCGCCTTTCATGGTCATCACTGGGCCCAATCGCTCGCCCGAGCACAGCCTCGGTCCTAGCGATCCAACGGGACCAAATCGATCCAACTCGCCACAGCCAGTGCAAATATGGCTGTGGCTCACAGAAGACATCATGCCCCCGCAACTACCCACTGGTCAAGGAGAATGACCTGCAGCTGCAGAGTCCCTGACTCTGACTTCTTGAGCCACAGGGCCACATTTCAGGGCCACATCCCCAAAATAAACGATCCAACAATCATATGACAATAGTCATGAACGATCCATTCCTTCTCTATTTTTCATTGGCAGCTCCCAGGCTGCTCCAAAACTCATCTGCGGTGGCGAGGGGCGGCACGCCCAGGAACTGCCGTGGACATCTTCCGTCGTGAGCTGGAGCGGTGTGACCGCATGAGCACGCGGGTGGAGTATGCTCAGGCACGCCCAGAGGAGGAAGCCAATCAAAGTGAACATTGGACGTTTGAGAAGGGGTCAATGAGATCATCATCATCATCATCATCATCATCATCATCATCATCATCATCATC